AAAAGCCAGCAGCGAAACTGAAAATCAGGCAGTGAAAACGTAAAACAGGGCGGAGTGACTGAAAAGCCAGCAGCGAAACTGAAAATCAGGCAGTGAAAACGTAAAACGGGGCGGAGTGACTGAAAAGCCAGCAGCGAAACTGAAAAACTAGCAGTGAAAACGTAAAACGGGGCGGAGTGACTGAAAAGCCAGCAGCGAAACTGAAAAACTCACAGGCAAGAATGAATATTGAATGAATTTTGTTTCATATTAGGAAAGTTTTGTTTGAAAATTTTGGCACAAATTTGATTCCATAGTTACGATGCAGTGCAATCCGATTTCGATTCGATTCAACACGATTCGATGCAGTATGATGCAATGAAACAAATATGATGCTATGCATTTCAATATGTTACAGATACTTTTATTTCTTTGTTTCAGACAACAAATCATAAATTAACTTAAGTGCCTTCTGATTTGTAGTGCATGACCCTTACACAAATAGGCTTTGGTAGAGCAAAAAAAAGATTAAATAAAACCAAATGCTTTTTTTCCTGTTCTGTCTCCACTTAAACTTTTAACAGCTCAAACATTTAACAGTGAAACAATTTAAGGATGCTGCTCAGAGATAAACTGAAGAAATGTTCCATAACTTACTAGCAAATGAATGTGCTTTCAACAGACGGGCTTACTCATTGAACAGAAAACTATTTTGCTATATTTTGTGCTATTTTGACATAACCAATAATAAGAAGTAGTACAAAAAAACACTTTCACAAACAGTTATTTCATAACTGTTTTCAAATGTGTAAAAAAAAAAAAAATGAAAATAAAATAAAATTTAAAAAAAATAGTATAGGCAGTCACAGGATGCTGTAAACCAAACTCATGAGATTAACACTAAATTTAACTTAAATGTCCTCTTTTAAGGTTTTTCTTAAGAAATATCAGTTGATCCACATAATCAGGATGTAGCAAAGTGTGCTGTGCTGTAACTATATCTCCAGCTGTGCTAAACACTCTTTCAGAGGGTACACTTGTAGCTGGGGTGGAGATGTAGCTCTTTGCCAATGCTGAAAGCAGTGGAAGATCCATTTGTTTTTTCCACCACTGCAGCACATCACCACTCAGACCTAAAGAGTCCCTTTCTCTGTACTTTAAAATTTCCTCCTTAGCGCTCTCCCTTGTGCTCTTTGTCGTCTGTGCTCTCGCAGTCTGGAATTCCCCAAACATCTGGTCCAAGGCCGTTTTCTTCTTGGGAGGAACAGCAGCTAAGAACAAAAGAGAAGAGAAGAGGGGATTATCAGTTGTGTTGAAAAAATATATCAATCAATCAATCAATACTATACCACAAAACATTTGACATACAGTATTAGACTAATAACACATGTATCTCCAAATCAACATACAGTAGTTTTATAACTTGTGCCACAGTTCCTAAACTTCCTATTAGAACAAAGCAAACCTGTCTCTTCCTCTCTGTGGGTGCTCCTGTCACCTCCTGTTTCAGCTGCCTGACTCTCGTTCAATGTGTTCCTGTCTCCTGCCTCACAATAATCATTATAATCCAAAGACTAACTGTTAGATTTCCTTAAACTAGACATAATTTAAGACACAGGTAAATAAATTTAACAAATGGATACATGATAGAGAGGTAGAGGGGGAGAGAGTGAGTGTGTGTGTGAGTCTAGCTACAGTCTTCTGAGTATATTCTTACCTTTTCATCCATCTTCACCACCTCTGTAGTTAGCTTCATGAATATCGTGTCCTTGGTGTCGCTGTCATCCAGGAAAGCCAAGTCTTTGAAGCGTGGATCAAGAGCTGAAGAATAGTGAAGGAGGTCTTGGAGATACTGTATGTATAGCGACCATCAAAGTCCTCTCTGAATTGTTCCTTCATCTGGGAAATTACTGGTAGATCACTCTCATCTGGCGCCCGCTGAGGCGCCCCCTGCTGGCCGCACGCCCGAAGGTGCTCACTGATGCCGCCGCTCTCCCCGCGGCCCTGCCTGAGGTTGCCGCTCTGCCCGCGGCCCTGCCTGAGGCCACCGCTCTGCCCCCAGCATCGCCTGAGGTCAATTTGATGACCTCTTTGATTAGTGTCATGTCTTCCTCTGTCATGCTGGCCATGTCTTCTCTCCTCTTTATCTTCTTTGACAACAGTGTGTTCAACACAGCGTTCCAACATGTCAAAAGAACTGTTCCATCTTGTGAAAACATCATGGATTAGCTTGTGGTTTGGCAGCTGTAACTGGGCCTGCATTTCACATAGAACTTCAGTTGCTTTTGGGCTCCTGTGAAAAAACGTTACCACCTTCCTCACTTTTGCTAGAAGCTCTGACACCCTGTCTACCTTGAGGGATTTTTGGGAAGCCAAATTAAGTGTGTGCGCGATGCATTGCACATGGGAGTCCATCTCAGCACCGACTCCTGCCAGTATCATGTTTTTAGCATTATCAGTGACCAACGCTGTTTTCTTGTCATTGATGTTCCACTCGCGGCAAACGTCCTGCAGTAAAACTGCTAGATTACTCCCCGTGTGAGCCTCATTGAACACTCTAGTCTGTAGAACGTGGTTTTGAAAAACCCATTCGTTGTCAATATAGTGTGCTGTGACAGTGATATATGAGTCAGTGGCGCAAGACGTCCAGCCATCAACTGTAACTGCAACTCTTTGGGAACTGCTTAATACTTGTGTCATCTGGTTTACCAATCATTATTCTTTGTTTGGTGATCAGTTTCGGGTAAACATCAGCGAGACGGTTTATGACACCCTGATCACCCCCTTCCATTTGCGATAAATGATCAATAGCCTTGGGAACTGGTCTATCTCGAGCCAGTCGTCAACAGGTGCGCGGCCTCCCGCTGTTTCACTGACCCTGCTGTGAACCCCGTTAACAAAAAAAAAAAAGAAGAGTAGACAGCCCCACCTAGCGGTATGTGCTGAGACCGTACCACACCCATGCTTCTAAATTTATGTTAAAAACACATAGATTCATTCCCTAAAACTTATCGTCTAGGCCGTTCACATACATTGTATTAAACATTGTATCAAAAACAGCACGTTCATGTTAAAGATAATTATTTTTAGTTTAAAACTTTATTGGCATAGCAGTTTTTAACCACCCCGCTTTTGGGTTAATGTCATACGCTCATTTTAACAAGGATTACCCGTGTTATTCCTTGATTCTTGTTGTCGAAATGTTCCCCATTCGACGCTGTGACATTTATAGTGGTATACATTGATGATATAACTATTTATTCCTCATCCTTTGAGCAACATACTCACCAAGTCTGACAGGTCCTCCAATGGTTGTGAGACTATACAACCAACCAAATACAGCCTATTTGTAAAAGAGGAGAAATGTGAGTTTCACTGCCACTCTCTTAAGTTCCTAGGTTACCTCATTCAACCCGGAATGGTGACCATGGACGAAGACAAGATTCAGGCAGTCTGGGAGTGGCCTTTATGGAGAACTGTAAAGGAGCTGCAGTAATTTATGGGGTTTCTATTGAAGGTTCATCTGGAATTTCAGCTGGGTTGCCTCTCCACTGCCATCCCTGATTTGTGGTAGGCATGTTGTGAAGGCATGGTTCTTCGATGGACCGTTTCATCATGTACACAGACTACCATAACTTAGAGTCTCTGCATAATACTGAATGATTAATTGCACAATAAGCTTGTTGGTGCCTATTTTTCACTCACTTTGATTTTAAAGTTGTTATGGATCGAAGTCCAGAGAAGCAGCACAAATACCGTGAAATAAGCAAAACAGCGGTTTTATTATGAAAAAACACCAAACACCAGACAAAACGTGGACCAATGTCAATGATCGGACTGGGGTGAGATGGACACGGAAGCACTAAATACAAGAACCAATTAACAATGACTAGAAACAGCTGAGAACACCAGGATTTCACATGAGGTAAGAAGGGGGCATGGTACACAGGAGGACTGGACAAGTAGGTCATGACAGAACCGCCCCCTCAAAGGCGCGAACACCAGGTGCGCCAAAGGGACCGGAGGGAACAGAACCAGGGACAGCACAGGACAGGACCTGGGGAAACAAAAAGCAATACCATCAACGGACTGTGGGAAACAGGATCAACACACAAAACAGGGACCAAGACAACAACCAAAACAGACAGACCAAGAAGAACACTGAGAGACACAGGGACACCAAAAACAGAAACAGAGAACCCAAGGAGGGGGAAAACAGAGAGACAACAAGGGGAGCAAAGGGACCAGGAGGGAACAAGGATGGAGCAAACACAGGGGGCAGGGAAGCAAAGGGCGTCGGGAAGCAAGGAGCCGGAGGGAACCCCGGCTGGCAGAAGGCGGGAGCCGCATGGGCAGCAGGCAACTGCAAGGCCGGAGCAGGAGGGACCCTAGGCCACTGTGAGGTAGGAGCCGGAGGGGACGACGAAGGGGGCGTGGAGGGACAAATGGAGGGGACGAGAAGGGAGGCAAAGGGGACACCGGAGGAGGCGAAAAGGGAGCAGAAGGAGACACCGGAGAAGTTGAGAAAGGAGCAAAAGCTGCGGCAGGTGAAGACGCAGCCACAACCGGCGAAGGCACTGGCAACCGACGAGTCGGAGCAAGGGGCACTGCAGACAACCACCGAGCCACTGGAGGCAGGATCAAAGGTGTCCAACGAGACGCCGCAGGAGACACTGCAGGGGACCGCCGAGCTGGAGCCAGGGGGACCGCAGGCGATCACCGAGCCAAAGCCAGGGGGACCAACGGCGAGCCAGGGGGTAGGGCGGGTGGGACCTACGTAAGTGTCCTCTCCCCCTTCTGGACACAGAGAGTCATGGTCCAGGCTGGGATTTGCCATGCTGGGGCAATGGTGGGGGCAGTCAGAGATATCCCCGAGGGATCCCACTCAAGCTCCTCCACCCCGGTGATGGAGGAGGAGTGTCAGTCCGATGGTCCAGGACCTCCTCGGGGACAGGGGCAGGGGCCATGGGAATTGGGGCAGGAACAGGGTCCAGGTGATCAGGAACCACGGGGGGTGGAGCAGACACAACAGGCAAGTGGGCTTCGGGCGCAGGTGAAGCAGCAACAGGCAGACGGGCGAGCTTCTCCTGACACGCCGTAAGTGAGGTAGCGGAAAAAAACACCCTACGCGTCCTCCCGTCTCTCTCTTCACTTCCTTCTCCTGCGAGCTGGCGCTGCGAGGTCCGGCAGCTCACACGGCAAGGGAGGAAGGAAGCCACAGTCGATTCTCACCTGCCGGATCATATCTTCGGCAACCCTGCTTCTTATCCGGGTGAAATGTATCCGCACCTCCTCTGCAAGGTGCGGATCCTCGGAAGGGGAGATCCGTTCAAGGACCTCCCTTGACCAGTGAGCGATGGCTCGCGCCACAGGGTCCTCCTTTACCTTGGGCTGACCGAGCCAGTAATTTACCTCGTCGTGTAGATCAAGGTATTCCGCCTCGCTGAGGGGAGGCGTCTTCGTTGCGGGTCCGGTCATTCTGTTATGGATCGGCATCCGGAGAAGCAGCACAAACATCGTGAAATAAGCAGGGGTTTTATTATGGAAAAACACCAAAAACCAGACTAAACGCGGACCAATGTCAATGACTGGACAGGGGTGAGACGGACACGGAAGCACTAAATACAAGAACCAATTAACCATAACTAAAAACAGCTGAGAACACCGTGATTTCACATGAGGTAAGAAGAGGGCGTGGCACACAGGAGGACTGCATGAGTACTGATGTCCTGTGCCAGCAGTATGACCCATAAGTCTCCAATGAACAGACCTATCTGATTCTGTCATCTTTGTGCTTTGTGGGACTGGTGGTCTGGACAATTGATGACACAATCAAAATGCCCCCTGGTAAGATCTACGTGCCCCTACAGTTTCAATCTGCTGCAATCCAGTGGGTCAACACGTCATGCAGCTTAGGCCATCCCAGAGTCTAGCCTTAGGGTGGGACAATTTCACAACGATACTGGTGGCTGGGCTGCTGAAAACACACTTAGTATATGGCTTCATCCACTGACATACCCGGTGTGAAGTATTGTTGCCTCCATGCACCTTACCAAGCATTCTCATTCCAACCCTGTCTCGTCTCTCCAGTGTGAATCTGATTCTGTTTGTTCTTGCCCTGCCTTCTCATCCTATCTGGTGTTCCTGTTCCTTCTCTCGTGGATCATCATAGGATGGACCTTTTGGTTACCGGATTTCCTGCACCTGCTTTCTCATGTAGGAAAAATTTAGCTGAAATAATTTGTGCAATCAATATGTAAGGAAATTAATTCTTAATCATTATTAATTATGCTGGAATGGTTTGTTTCACCAATAATAAATATTATGAAAGTCCCAAATGATGTTACTGGAAGTATTACAGGATTTAAATGGAATTCATTAATTACAGTTTAACCTAGGGTAGAACGCTCCTGTTATGCGAAGCTGACAGGAAAGAGGCGAACCCCAGTATGCGGGAGAACGAGAGTTTAATTAGATAATCGGGTACACCACAAGCCAAGGGGGTCGGCAGAGAGAATAGGTGAGTCGGATGCAAGGGTTCGGATGCCGGTGAAGTCAGTCGTACAAGCAGGGACGAGATGGGGTGACGACGAGACAGGAGGCACGATGAGGAAGGGTCCGGAGAACGAGGCAAGGGAGGCAGGTCAGGTAGGCAGGGTAGGTGAGACAGGTGACACAGGCATAAGACAAGAGAATGCTCAGTAAGGCGTAAATACATGGCAACAATACTTCGCAATGCATTAATCGGCCGGGACAGAGCAGAGGCTGAGGCGGCCCCCTGTGGGCAGGCCGCGGGCGGCCGGGACAGAGCAGAGGCTGAGGTGGCCCCCTGTGGGCCGGGCGTGGGCGGCTGGGGCATCGCAGAGGCAGAGGCGGCGGCTGCGGCTTCCGCTGGGCAGGGCTCGGGCACCGCGGCGGCTGCGGCTTCCCCTGGGCAGGGCTCGGGCACCGCGGCGGCACCTTCACTGGAAGCTGGGTCAGGTACCTCAGGCGACCCTGCCAGAGCCACCAGGTGCCAAAAAACCCTCTCCATTCTACAGACCTCCTCCTCTGGAGATGCAGGAGAGAGCTGGAGAAGTTGGTTGCCGGCTTCTGCCAGGGCCCGGCACAACCACGGTGACTGGAGGAC